TAGCAAGGGATTTCTGCTGGGAAAAAAAACCTGCTGTCAGGCCGTGCTATCTGCAGCCGGGTACAGCTCGCTCGCTGCTTTCAGGGTTTAGGGTTTAGGGTTTAGGGTTTAGGGTTTAGGGTTTAGGGTTTAGGGTTTAGGGTTTAGGGTTTAGGGTTTTGTTGAATTGGGGCTGGCGTTCTCGGTTTGCCCCGCTTCAAGGTGCTCTAGGGTTTAGGGTTTAGGGTTTAGGGTTTAGGGTTTAGGGTTTAGGTTTAGGGTTTAGGGTTTAGGGTTTAGGGTTTAGGGTTTAGGGTTTAGGGTTTAGGGTTTAGGGTTTGTAGTTTAGGGTTTAGGGTTTAGGGTTTAGGGTTTAGGGTTTAGGGTTTAGGGTTTAGGGTTTAGGGTTTGTGTTGGCAGTGACTCACGCTGCGGGTTTGGGGGATAAACTGAAGAGTTGGGGTGTCTGTACACCTCGAGTGGAGAGTTAAAAAGATAAATTGGAAAATTAATTTCATTTTTTTTATTTTTGTCTTTGAGTCTCTTCCTAGCTCCAATGCACCTGCTGCTTGTTTAGGGTTTGGGGTTTAGGGTTTAGGGTTTGGGGGTTTATGGTTTTGTTTCTTTATATTTTCTCTTTTAATTACTTAATTAATTAATTAATTAACTTATAAATTAACTTATTTATTTATTTATTTATTTATTTATTTATTTATTTATTTATTTATTCTTTTATTTAATTTTCTTTCTTCCCCTTCTTTTCTGTTCTTTTCTTTTGTCCGGAAACCCTTTGTTTGGCTTTGAGCAGTTTATCTTAGGAAACTGACCGCTAGGGTTTAGGTTTTAGAAACTAGGGTTTAGGGTTTAGGAATTAGGGTTTAGGGTTTAGGGTTTCTTCGGTACTGCGAGCTGTTTCCCTTTTGCTATTTGTTCGCTCCTGCAGTTTAGCTGCTGCAGCAGAAAGAGCTTCAGGGTTTGCACTGAACCCCCCAAGTCTTTAACCTTAAACCCTAAACCCTAAACCCTAAACCCTAAACCCTAAACCCTAAACCCTAAACACTAAACCCTAATGCGTGGCAGCAGAGAGTCTGAGTGTACAGACACCCTGAAAATGAGAATTTTGATCCACTGAATTCTCTCTTTAAACTTCTTCAGAAATATCCACAACACAAATACTTTATTTGCAGCCTTCATGAATCCTAAACCCTAAACCCTAAACCCTAAACCCTCAACGCTAAACCCTAAACCCTGGGCGGCCTATTCTACCTCGTTGTTTCTGCCTTTGCAGAGTCTGCATGCGTTGCAAAAAGCAAATAAAAGAATAAATGATGAATAAAGACATAATAAAGAATAAAGAAAGCAAACAAAACAACAAAAGAAATTAAAAAGTCATTTAAAATGAAGTCCGTTGAAAGCCAAGAAGTGGCGTCGGTGGACTCCGCGGGGTGTACGTACACCTGACGGGGTGTATGCGCAGCTCGACTGCAAGTCGTTTGGATTCATTTTGAAGCAAATGGAGCATTTTAATGGCTTTTTGTGACATATTAATGAATTAATGAATTAATTTAATCAATTTAATTGAAAATAAAGGAGAAATAACTCCAAAAATGAATTAAATTCAGTTTTCCGCTTCTTGCTGCTGCACCCGGCGCACAGGCACCAGATTTCTCTTCCGCTCCTTCGCGAGGATTTTTCTTTCTTTTTTTATTTCTTTTTTGATTTGTTTCTTTTTGGAAATCTGCTGCTGCAGCTCCTGCTGCAGCAGCAGCCGCAGCTGCTTCTTGCTGGCATAGTGAGGCTTTTTTCCCGTTGCTGCTATTCTTTCTCGTTCAGCTTTGCTGACTTTGGCCTTCACTGCTGCTGCTGCTGCTCGCCGCTGCCGCTGCTGCTGCTGCGACTGCAGCCGCTGCAGCTGCTGCCGCGCCTGCTCCCGCTCTGCTTCGCTGACTTTCAGGCCCTTCTTGCTGCTGCTGCTGCTGCTGCTGCTGCTGCTGCTGCGGGGCAGCCTGCCTGTCTTGACTACGTGCTGCAGCTGCTGCATCAGCTGCTGCTGCTGCTCATCTAAAAAGGCATAGGCCTTGGCACAAGCAGCAACATTCAGCTCGCCGCAAAGCTTCGAGAAGCGAGGGTCTCTGTTGCTGCTGCTGCTGCTGCTGCTGCTGCTGCTGCTGCGGTGCAGCCCCGACCGCAGCCGCTTCAGCTGCTGCGCAGCAACTGCAGCACGGTAGGCCAGCACCTCTGGGGAGGCTGCTGCTGCTCGGGCTGCTGCTGCTGCTCTGGCTGCTGCTGCTGCGTCCCCTGCTGCTGCTGCTTCCGCTGCAGCAGCAGCAGCAGCAGCAGCAGGAGCAGCAGTCAGCAGCAGGGGCCCTGCTGCTTCTCCGTCCGGCAGCACAACTGCTCCTGTGGCTCTTGAGCCTCTGCGGCAGCTCAACTCTTTTGGTCTTTTGCTGCTGCTCTTTTTTATCTTCTTTTTCTTTATTTCCCTTTCTTTCTTCTTCTCCGAGGGTTTAGCAGCAGCAGCAGCAGCAGCAGCAGCAGCAGCAGACCCCAGCGCCTTGGGGGCCCCCTCTGCAGCAGCAGAAGGGGGGCCCCCCAGGGGGGGCCCCCCAGGGGCCCCCCGATGCAGCTGCCGCAGCTGCTGCAGTGTTAGCTGCTGCTGCTTGGGGCCCATTGCAGCTGCGCTGTACGTACACTCGAGGCGCCGGAAACCCTAAACCCTAAACCCTAAACCCTAAACCCTAAACCCTAAACCTTAAACCCTGGGAAGGAGGATATCCCCAAGAGGCCCGATAAAAGACGAAATAGGTCCTTTAATGCCTCATTTCTTTTTATTTTTATTTATTTTTATTTGCCAACAAACAATAAAACTTCATTGAGGGCCCCGCAGCCTTCGGGGCCCCTCGGGGGCCCCTTGGGGGCCCCTGTGGGGGCCCCCAGCCCATGGGGCCCCCTGGGGCCCCCAAGTGAGGCCTCCATTGAGGAATGGCTTTTTTAAGGTCTTTTTCGCTTTAAAAAATGCCAAAATAAATAAAAAATAATAAATAATAAATAATAATTAATTAATTAATTAATTAGTTAATTCGTGCTGCAGTTAGAGCTGCAGCAAACGAAGTTTCGCGTTTATCGATTTGCTGCTGCTGAAGTTCTGCTGCTCGAGGTGGAAAAGAATCAAAAGAAAACAATTTAAAATTTAAAATTAATTAATTATTTTATTTCCATTTTCTGCGCTATTTACTTCTTCTCAAGGCTGCAGCAAACACACTGCAGCAGCAGCAGCAGCAGCAGCTGCAGCAGCAGCAGCAGACACTGGCGGTGTATGTACACCTGCTGCTGCTGCAGGTCATGCTGCAGCAAACCCTAAAACGCATTTCTTTTCATTTTGCTGCCAGGCCCTCATGGGCTGCCTTGGCAATTGCCTCGTCTACCTCTACAGCAGCAGCAGCAGCAGCAGCTGCTGCTGCTGCTGCTGCTGCCGATCCTCCCATTGCTGCTGCTGCTGCACGGGGAACAGCAACAGCTGATGGTCGCACTGCAGCAGCAGCAGCAGCAGCAGCTTCCGAGTCTTCTGGCATTCGCAGGCCCCTGCCTCTTTCAAGGCACCAAAACCCCCTCGAAAACAGCAGCAGCAGCAGCAGCAGCAGCAGCACAGACCGCACCAGCCCCAATCCCGGCAACAGCAGCAGCAGCAGCAGCAGCAGCAGCAGCAGCAGCAGGAGCGGGGACTTGCTGGCGACGAGCAGCAGGCGGAAGGAGGGTTTGCTGCGGGTTTGTGCTGCGCTGCAGCAGCAAGGCCTTTGCTCCCGCGGAGAAGCAAAAAAGTATTTTTTTTTGGGACTGGTTTTGCTGCAGGGGCGGCGGCTGGGAAAAGCTGAGGTGTACGTACACCCCAGCGCCCCGCTGCAGCTCGCGCCCCGCGCGCTGCAGCAGCAGCAGCAGCAGCAAACGCTGCTGCTGCACAAACCCATGCACTTCTTGGCTTTTGCTGCTGCTGCGCAGGTGCTTTGCTTTTCTTTTCCAACTGCTCTTTGTTCATTTCTTGATGTTTATTTATTTATTCATTTATTTGTTTGTTTGTTATTTATTTATTTGTGTACTTATTTATTTATCTGTTTATTTATTTATTTATTTATTTATTTATTTATTTATTTATCTGTTTATTTATTTATTTATTTATTTACTTATTTATTTATTTGTTTGTTTGTTTGTTTGTTTGCTTGTTTGTTTTTTAATTTATTATTCTTTTTATTTAAAAAGAAATGTTTATTTTTGGTTTTTGGTTTCTTTTGGTTGGAATTAATTTTATTTTAATTTTAAAATTTGAAATTTAAATTTTATTTTGTGATGAATAAATCAGATAATGAAAGAAAAAGTTAACAAATAAAGAATTAATTAAAAGCTAATTAATAAATGAACAAAATAAATAAACAAATTAATTAAAATTAAATTAAGTAATTAATAAAGAAATCGATGAAGGAATAAACCAATAATTAAATTAAAATAAATCAGATGCACATTAATTAGCAAATTAATGAATATACAAATAAATAAATTAATTAATTAATTAATTAAAATATAAATTAATATAAATGCATAAATGAAAAATAAAAAAACAAATTCTCGCCAACGTCCTCCAGGTGTACATACACCTGGTGCATGCAGGTGTACGTACACCGAAATTTGAAATTTTGAATTTTTTTGAAATTAAATTAAATTAAATTAAATTCTTTCGAATTCTTTTTTAGTTTTAATTGCATGCAGCCTTTTGCATGCATTTATTCTTTAAATTGAATTAATTGCGGATTTGTTTTCAAGGAAGATAAAAAATCCAATAAACCCTTATGCCGGTCTTTACTAACCCCCGAAAACTACTGGGACCCATGGGGGCCCCCAAACCCTAGGGGGGCCCCCCTAAACCCTTGGGGGGCCCCCCGAAACCCTAAAACCCTTCGCAAGCTGGTTGTGGCCGGCAGACTCGACTCAGAAAGCTCAGGGTTGATGGTGTTTACACAGGTAGGGTTTAGGGTTTGGGCTTGGTAGGGTTTAGGGTTTAGGGTTTAGGGTTTGGGGTTTAGGGTTTGGGGTTTAGGGTTTAGGGTTTAGAATTTTTGTGCAGCACTAGGTGGGCAACCGGGGTTGAGGTAGACGCTGCAGCGGACTGGCAAACCCCAAATCCCAAACCCTAAACCCTAAACCCTAAATTAGGGTTTGTGTTTGCAGAGTGGACGCATTGCTGCTCAGCTGCTGGGCGGCGCACAAGAGCCGGTGCCAAAAGAGTATTTGGTGCAGGCAAGTGTACAGACACCTCAATTAATTTTAATTTATTTATTTAAATAATTCAAACTTTAATTAACTTTCATTAATTTTGTTTATTTTGATAATTCGAAGATTTATTAGTTCCATTTGCTTTAATACTTTAATTTAATTTGTTCTAATAATTCGAACATTTATTAATTCCATTTGTTTTAATAATTTAATAATTTATTTTTTTAAATAATTCAAACCTTTATTAATTTTACTTCTTTTAAAAATTTATTAATTTAATTTTAAAAATAATTCAAACATTTATTAATTCCATTTGTTTTAATAATTTATTAATTAATTTTTTAAATAATTCAAACATTTATTAATTCTATTTCTTTTAAAAATTTATTAATTTAACTTTTTTAATAATTCGAAGTTATTAAATCTGAATTGCAAGCAGCTGTAGTCCTGTGCATCATTTATTTATTATTTTTAATTATTTCGAATTACATTTAAACTTTTAATTTATATTTCTCATTTTCTTATTTTCATTTTGAATTATTATTTAAATTTTAAATTTATTTTTTCAATTTTTTTTTATTTTGCATTTAATGTTTTGCGGCGCTGCTTTGCCTCAAGAGAGGAAACCGCCGAAAAAAAAACCATTTAGCTTGCTGCTGCTGCTGCTGCTGCCTCTGCTGCTGCTGCTGCTGCTGCTGCTGCTGCCGCTGCTGCTGCTGCTGCTGCTGTTGCTGTTGCTGCTGCTGCTGCTGTTGCTGTTGCTGCTGCTGCTGCTGCTGCTGCTGCTGCTGCTGCTGCTGTGCGCAGGTGGATTCTTTTGTGTCTGAGGAGGCCCTGCAGCTGCTGTCTTTCGGGCTGACGCTGGAGGGGCAGCAGCTAAAAGCAGCAGCAGTTCGCCGCGTTGCAGCAGAAGAGGCGCTGCTGCTGCTGGGCGCCGGCGAAGCAGCAGCAGCAGCAGCAGCAGCAGCAGGGGGAGCAGCAGCAGCAGGGGGAGCAGCAGCAGCAGCAGCAGGGGGTGCAGCAGCAGCGGGACATGGCGCAGCAGCGGGAACGCCGCCACCAGCAGCAGCAGCAGCAGCAGCAGCAGCAGCAGCAGCAGCAGCAGGAAGCAGTTTGCACTACTTTTCGATAGAATTAAAAGAAGGAAAAAACAGACAAATTCGAAAAATGTGTAAACTCGTGGGACTGCAAGTGCTGCGCATACACCGCATTCGAATTGGAAAAGTCTTTTTGGGAAATTTGCCCGAAGGCAAATGGCGGTGGCTTTTGCCCGGAGAGGCTTTTCGTTGAACCCTAGGGTTTAGGGTTTAGGGTTTAGGGTTTAGGGTTTAGGGTTTTGGGCTTTGGTTTCGGGTTGGTGGTAGGGTTTGGGGCTTAGTTAGGGTTTAGGGTTTAGGGTTTAGGGTTTTGGTTTCGGGTTGGTGTTAGGGTTTGGGGCTTAGTTAGGGTTTAGGGTTTAGGGTTTAGGGTTTAGGGTTTTGGTTTCGGGTTGGTTTTAGGGTTTGGGGCTTAGTTAGGCTTTAGGGTTTAGGGTCTGGGGGCTAGTGAAACCCTAAACCCTAATTAAACCCTTGATTCTATACCCTAAGATCCGGGACCTGAATAAACGCCAAACCCTAAACCCTAGGAAAACCCTAAACCCTAACTTCTCGTCTGGCATAGGCCAAATAAAAAACAGCAGATTGAAGCGGAAAAAAGAATTAAAAATTATTTTAAAAATAAATTCAAATAAATCAATTATTTTTAATTTTGAAATTAACTCATTTATTTGGTTTTTAAATTGCCTTTTTTATTTGCTTCTGTCAAACTTATTTATTTACTTTTTCACTTAACTTCTTCAAAGTTCTAATGCACTTTCGCGAGACAAAATGACAAAAAGTTAAAAGCTCTTATGGAAACATTGGGGCCCCCAAAGGGGCCCCCTAAAGGCTCCATTAGGGCCCCACAGGGGCCCCCACCTAGGGGCCCCCTAGGGGCCCCCTTGGGGCCCCACTTGGGTTGCATGCAACCCACTAGCGGGCCCCCTAGGGGGCCCCTAGGGGCTGCATGCAACCCACAGGGGGCCCCCTAGGGGCCCCTGGGGGCCCCGTAGGGTCAAGGGGCCCCCTAGGGGGCCCCAAGGAACCCTCAGGGGCCCCCCGGGGGCCCCCTAAGGGCCTTGGGGGCCTCACTGGGGCCCCCGGCAAGGACCTCTTGGGGCCCCCAGCAGAGGTCTTCTTTAAACCTTTAAAAGGGCCTTTGAAAGGCCTCTAAGAGTTCACTAGGCCTTCATGGACCGAAGTCCCCTGGGGCCCCCACACCTCCCAGTGGGGGCCCCCAGGGGGCCCCCAGCGGGGCCCCCAGGGAGCCCCCAGTGGGGGCCCCCAGCGGGGCCCCCAGGGAGCCCCCAGTGGGGGCCCCCAGCGGGGGCCCCAGAGAGCCCCCAGTGGGGGCCCCCTACCTAAGGGGCCCCCAGGGAGCCCCCAGTGGAGGCCCCCTAAGGGGCCGTGGGAACCCTCTGGGGGTTCCTGGGGACCGCCTGTTCCGCAGGGGCCCCCTAAGCCCTTCAGGGACCCATTAAAGGGTCCCAAGGGTCGCTGGGGGCCCCTGAGGGGCCCCCAACGACCCTGCAGGGGCCCCCAGGGGCCCCCACCAGTTGGAGCAGGGGCCTCCGAGGCCCCCGGGGCCCCCTGTAGCTGTATATATGTTGTATATGACCACAGCGTGAATTTGCTTTTATTTAATTACAAGAGAATGTAGGGGCTGCATGCATGCGCTCGAAATGGTACTTTTGGGGCTTTTAATAACTTCGGGACTGCTGCATTAGTCCACCCCCAAAAGTCCCTCTTTCCTGAAGTCTGGGTACTGGCGGGCGGCAGCAGTTGAGGGCCCCCGAGGGGGGCCCCTGGGGGGCCCCCAGGGGGCCCCCTGGGGGCCCCCGGGGGCCCCCCGGGAGGCCCTGCGGGCCAGTTTGGGGTCTTTGGAATCCCCTTTTGTCTTGGGATTGAACTCCGCCAAAACTCCGCAAAAAAGAGGAGAAGAAACGACGCAAAGGCGGCGGGCAAAAAGCCCCGCAGCCAGTTCGTACTTGTAGAGAGCTGGAGCCACGGAGTTGCCCCTGCATGCATGCAAGAAAGCCCCAAAAAGAAGTCCTTTTGAAACAAGTTTGTCCAATTTCACTCTTATTTCCACTTTTATTTCACTTTTATTTCACTTTTAATCCAATCAAGACGCAAATGCATGCATGCAATGATACCCCCTGCAGCTTGAAGAAAGTGCTGCTTCTAAATGGCCCAAGTGCCGAATCTGCCCCAGTGGACCACCCAGGTGACCAGTGGTCCACTAAAGAATTCGCTCTTCTGGGAAGTCCCCACTGCCCCACTGCACTCTTCGTGACCAGTGGACCACTGGGCCCTAGTGGTCCGCTAAGACAACTTAGTCCTATAAGTCTAATTGCCCCAGTGGTCCACTGGTCCCCAGTGGTCCACTAACACAGTTTAGTCTTATAACTGGAATTGTCCAAGTGGTCCACTGGTCACCCCAGTGGTCCACTAAGACAATTTCGTCTTATATAGTTCTAATAGCCCCAGTGGCCCACTGAGTGGCCCGCCACCCCCAGTGGTCCACTGGTCACCCCAGTGGTCCACCCCCACCCACAGGCCCACCCCAGTGGTCCAATGGCCCCCCAGCGCCCCCTATTCCCCCAGTGGCCCCTTATACCCCTGTGGCCCCAACAGCCCAGTGGCCCAGTGTTGCCCCAGCGGCCCTATGGCCAGTGGTCCACTGGTCAGCCAGTGGTCACCTAGTGCCCCCTGTGGCCTCCCCAGCCCAGTCCCCCCTATTCCCCAGGGTTCAGGGGCCCCCCAGTGGTCCAGTGGTCATCTGGGGGCCCCCAGAGCCCAGGGGCCCCTCTATGGCGTGCCTGCTATCCTCTAGTGGTCCAGTGGTGCCTGAGTGGTCCACTGGTCACCCAGCAGCCCCTGTGGCCCCTGGAGCCCATACCCTGCTGCCCCCGCTTCCCCAGTGGTCCAGTGGTCACCTAAGACCCCCCGCACCCCACTGCTCCTATTCTCTACTGGTCCACTGGCCAGTGGTCCAGTGGTCCACTGGTCACCCGGTAGCCTCTATTGCCCAGTAGCCCTATATAGCAGTGCCCCTTTCCGTAGGGCCCCACAGCCAGTGGTCCACTGGTCCACTGGTCCACTGGTCACCAGCAGCCTCTGCAGCAGAGGGCCCCCTTCTCTAGTGGTCCAGTGGGGCCCCCGTAGCCTCTCAACCCCCAGCCCAGTGGCCCCTAGAGGGCCCCCCGTGGTCCAGTGGTCCAGTGGTCCACTGGCAGTGGTCCAGTGGTCACCTCTGTTCGAAGAAGTTCCAGGCCCAGAGCTCCCCCTCAGTGGTCAAGACGACAGCTTCCCACCAGCCCACGCCCAGGGCCTTCACGGGGGCCCTCAGGAGGTCCAGGTTTACGGCCAAGGGTTTGAAGCTGCGGGCTTTCACGCACACCTGCGCGCAAACCCTAAACCCTAAACCCTAAACCCTAAACCCTAAACCCTCAGCCGGCGCCCACTGCCAGCCAACGCCGCGCTGCCGTCCGTTCTCCGCACTTCAACCTCCGCCGAAGCCCTAAACCCCAAACCCTCGTGAAGCCCTAAACCCCAAACCCTCAAGCGAAGCCCTAAACCCCAAACCCTCCCGCAAACCCTGAACCCCAAACCCTCGCAGAAACCCTAAACCCTAAACCCTAAACCCTTCGACGGACCTCCTCCTCTTCGTCCCAAGA